CGACAGATGGCATATGGTATCGTTTGCCCATGAACTCGTGCTCTTCTGTAGTCTCTGGTTGTGTCTTCGATAGCTTGAAATGACTTGCAAACGGCGAGCCCACCGGTTTAGCTTTCTCCATGCCAAACTTTTCAAGAATCTTTCTCAATGTAGGCCTTTCTGAGACAACCTCAGCTCCGTGCTGATCTGTCTCTGATGATCCTCATCCCCAGAATCTGTTTGCTGGACCCAGATCCTTCATCTCGAAGCACTCGGAGAGACGCCCCTTGAGTTCCTCAATGCGGGGCAAGTCGGGCCTGCAATCAACATGTCATCAACATAAATCAAGAGTATTACATAGGATTCGTCATAATCTCTTGATGAAGCAGCAGTGGTCTGTGTCACATTTGAGAAAACCGTTCTCCTCCATAAAGTTTTTCGAACTTCATGTACCACTGTCGCGGAGCTTGCTTCAGCCATACAAGCTCTTGCGTTAGCGACACACGAGGCCCTTCCCTGCTCGCTCTCTGAAGCCACTGCTCGTTGATGCATATAGATTTCTTCCTCAGATCCCATGAAGGAATGTCGTCTTCAATCCATTCTGTTCTAGTGGAGATCTCGAACTGCCTACAATGTCAGCACAGTTCGGATCGTGGTCAACTTTGACGACGGGAGCGAAAACGTCAGATAATCAATCCCTGCTTTTTGTTCATAGCCCTTCATCTACAAGGCCTCGCCTTTGTAGCGTCTCCGTCCATCGGCTTCATCCTTGACCGAATATATCACACGAATTGTGAAGTGCCTTTCGCCCTCGTGGAAGCTTTACAAGCTCCCAAGTCCCATTCTTCATCAAGGACTTCATTTCTTCCTCCATGGCAGACTCCCACTCGCCCCGAGCTTTGTCGGTCTGCTGTACCTCCTCATAGCTCTCTGGCTCACCATTGTTAGTCAGGAGAAGGTAATTCATTGTGGAAAGGTACCTCTCTGGCACCCTTGGATTTCTTGGAGCTTTGCGAATTGCGATCGGCAACTCTGCTGGATCCTGCTGCTGTGCATCCCGCATGTTCTCTTGGTCTCTGTCTTCTATGCTGATTGGTATCTCACCTCCGTCCTCACTGTCAGCAATATCTGGAAAAAGAGGGGGAGATAGCTGACTCCCACTCACCTCTTTGGTCTTGTACACCGCATTCTCATGGAATACGACGTTACGATTGCGCACCACCTTGCGCGTATCGTGATCCCAGAAACGGTACCCATACTCATCTCCTCCATAGCCGATGAAAGAGAGCTTCTTTGACTTTGGATCAAGCTTTGATCGGTCTGTAGGATTGGTCATGACATAGGCGTCACAACCAAATATTCGTAAGTTCTCTAGCTTCAGCTTCTTTCCGATCCAAGCCTCTTCAGGCATCCCATAACTGAGAGCCACGGATGGCCCGCGGTTGATCAAGTATGCAGCAGTTGACAGCTTCGGCCCAAAAGCTCTTGGGGCGGATGGCCCGCGGTTGATCAAGTATGCAGCAGTATTGACAGCTTCAGCCCAAAAGCTCTTGGGCAATCCGGAGTGGATCCTCATACTTCTGGCGCGCTCCAAGATAGTGCGATTCATGCGCTCCGCCACTCCGTTGTGCTGAGGTGTGCCTGGGACGGTCTTCAGTCTCCGAATCCCACGGGACGAGCAGAAGTTCTCGAACTCCTGGCTGCAATACTCGCCTCCATTATCAGACTTTAGGCACTTCAGCTTATTGCCTGTTTCGTTCTCCACACAGGCAAGCCACTTCTTGAAGATGATGAATACATCTGACTTGTGCTTCAAGAAGAACACCCACAATTTTCTCGTAGCATCATCAATAAAAGTGACAAAGTAAAGAGAATTTCCAACAGATGGGACTTGCACAGGTCTCCACATGTCCGTGTGTACCAACTCCAATTTCTGCAGATTTAGAGCCGGTCTGATCTTGTTGAAGCTCACCTTCTTTCGTTTGCCTAGGATGCAGTCCTCACAGAAAGTCAGATCGATCTTGTTCAGACCCGGAAGCCTCTCTCCCGCGGCCATAATCTGCATCCCCTTCTCGCTCATGTGGCCAAGTCGTCGATGCCAAGTCATGCCGATGGATGATGATGATGATGCTTGTCCTACGACAAGCAAGTGGTCGATCTTCCCGTTGGCGATGTAGAGAGATCCCTCGTGTTTACCGGGTGCCACCACCAGGACACCTTCTAGCTTCTCTGCTCGAAGGATACTTTGTAACCGAAGTCAGTCAGTTGCCCGACTACATGCCGAACATCATTCAGCGTCAAGGTGGTCCCGCCCTCCATCTTGAGGGTACAATTTCCCTTTCCGGAAACCTTACAAGGTTGATCGTCGCCAAGATAGACTGTCCCCAAGTCCTTCTTCACGAACGATGAAAGCAGCTTTTGTTGTGAGGTTGCATGAAAAGATGCGCCAGAGTCGATGACCCACGCATCACTTTTGTCTTCTAGGGATAGGAGAAGTGCATCCGAATCCGTCTCGTGCATGAGATTGGCTGCACCGTCAGCCCGATCATCCCCTGTTGATGCTGGAACACAAACTCTGCAGTCCCGTGCAAAGTGACCATTCTTTTCGCATCTGAAGTACTTCCCTTCACCGTAACCATTCGGGTTTGGCTCTTTAGACTTCCCTCTGGATTTTGATTGGCCTCGTCGTCCCCTACCCTTCTTCTGTGCACGCCCTCGTGCCTCGACATGCAGAGCACTCCCACTGCTAGAGGCCTCAGCTCCTGAGACTTTGCGGCGAGATTCTTCATCCAGAATTGCCCCAACCACTGTGTCGAGCTTCATCTTGTCATTGCCATTAGCGTTGCTCACCGCCATTACCATATTCTCCCATGAATCTGGTAGACAAGAAAGTAGCAGAAGAGCTTGGATCTCGTTGTCGAACTTTAGATCTACTGCAGCAAGCTGTTGCACCACAGCCTGAAATTCGTTCAAGAAGTCCGTCACGCGAGCTCCTTGCTGCATCTTGAGATTGAATAGCTTCTTCATCAGGTACACCTTATTTGAAGCAGACGGCTTCTCATACAGCGCCTCCAAGGCCTCCATCAACTCCTTGGTGGTGGTCGCATGCGAGACGTTGTAAGTCACATGCTGGTGAAGGTTGAGCCTGATGGTGGCAAGTGCTTTACGATCGAGCACCTTCCACTTATCGTCGTCCATCTTCTCAGGTTTCCCCGCCTCTCCTTGGAGGGGTAGGAAGAGATCCTTCTGGTACAAATAGTCTTCTATTTGCATCCTCCAATACCTAAAATTTTGGCCGCCGAACTTCTCAATTCGAAGTCTGTTGTCTTCAACTGTAGATCCCATGGCGAAAGATTACGTCTTTCCCGTATTCGTCAATAGTACAGTATTCGTGAATAGTACCGTACCCGTGAATAGTACCGTACCCGTGAATAGTACCGTACCCGTGAATAGTACCGTACAAGTGAATAGTACCGTACACGTGAATAGTGTCGTACACGTGAATAGTGCCCAATGCCTTAAAAGAGTAAATATTAATCTAACTTATTTTCTGATGTGGAGGATCCACTTTTAGTGGCAGCCACAGAGCATACGATAAGCAGATATATATACTCTAAGTCAGGCTCTGATACCAGTTGTTAGGATTCACCCCAATAATAACGCCTCGAACGGAGACTTAATCACAAAATAAAGGCACAAAATTCAACACAGAGTACTCACAGATATACGTGGTTCACTCCTTCGGAGCTACTCCACGGTGCAACGACGACGCCAAATTCTTTAATATCCCAAAAGAATTGATCCAAGAGAACACCCTCTCTTGATCAGATACACTCCAAGAACTCTCACAAACTCTCTCTTTGTTTTCTCTTACTCTTCTATAAGAGGAGTTGTTTCTGGGATGAGATTTCCTTAAGAGTTTAGGGCCCTATTTATAGTGTTTGAGAAAACACTATGCACAAATATAATATTATATGTGGGACCCGCCACTAATAATAAAATATTTGTGGGACCCACATCCTTTATAAATTCTCAACAATGGCTGCCACCGAATTTGATTTTTCTTCTTGTGGGGCCCGCCTTTGTGGGCCCCACTTTTGTTTTCATGTTGGCTGGGTCAAAAAGGTTGGGCGCCTGACACGTAGGACAGATGACTTAATTTCTGATGACTTAAGGGGCTGTTTGGTTGGTTTCCTAAAAACCAAGAATAGGAAATGGGAGCATGGAAATCTCTCATTTAACAACTCATCCACCACATCTAATAAAATATTATTTTCATCCACAACATCACTCAACTCATCTCATCTCATATTTAAAAATCACTCACATCATCCAATAAGATTGTGACAACTCACCTCATCTTATTAACATTTTATTTCTTTGTTTTCCTCCTAAAAAGCTAGGAAAATAATTTCCTTAAGTGTGGGTCACATCATAATATAATGACAACTCATCTCATCTCATCTATTTTCTTATTTTTAAGAATGAACCAAACACAAGAAAAAAACATATTATAGGAAATAGATTTCTTATAATACATTTCCTTATTTTTTAGCCAACCAAACAACATCAAAACAAGTTTTCTTAAAAAATCACTCACATCATCCAATAATATGACATCAAAACAAGTTTTCTTAAAAAATCACTCACATCATCCAATAATATGACGACAACTCATCTCATCCCCATCTCCTATTCTTTAATTTCCTTCTTTTTTTTCCAACCAAACAACCTCAAAATAAAATTTCTAAGAAATAGGTTTCCTATTCTTTGATTTCCCTTTTTTTTGGACAAACAAACAGCCCCTAATTTGCAAACGCATGGCCTTGGATAGGACTTTCAAGAGTCCAAGTCTATGTTGACGATGGGTACCAGATTTCCAAACGCAAGGGATGGCGTAGGACGGCAAAGTCCGAGTAAACGTTGGTAGGTGCAAGTGAGAGCAAATCAGCTGGCCTATTTATGTTGAGCATTTTCCCTCGTGAAGGATCAATTTCTTTTATCCTCTATTAATCTTCCTTCACTGGCATCAATGGGGACCTACCAGTCTGTCCTCTTAGTAACGCATCTGATGCTATTATTGTTTACCTCATCATCGGCGGTGAAACATAACAACATTACCGACCTCTCGGCCCTCTTGGCCATCAGAGCCCAGGTCATCGAACGTGATCCAGGCAGCATTCTATCCGCCAACTGGACCACCGATGCCTCCTTTTGCACCTGGATGGGCGTCTCCTGCAGCCGTCGAAGGCAAAGAGTCACTGCTCTCAACATTAGCAACATGCCGCTCTACGGCACCATCCCTCCTCACATCGGCAACCTCTCATTTCTGTCTCTGCTCTGGCTTTCCAATGATGGCTTAGTTGGAACCATTCCTGAATCTCTGGCTCAGCTGCCTCGACTGAAATATCTCGGACTTGATAGTAATCAGCTTTCAGGTTCAGTACCTCCTGCCTTTTTCAACATGTCGTCGCTTCTTGAATTGCATCATGGGAAAAACAGTATTTCAGGGACCCTGCCCTCTAATGATAGCAACTTCCATCCGTTGTTCCCTCCTGTTACGTCTATGTCTTGGAACCAACTCACTGGCAGCATCCCGTCTAGCCTTTGCGGTAGTCGTACTCTTCAAATCCTGAGCTTGAGTTACAACCAGCTAACCGGGAACATCCCGCCCGAGATTGGAAATCTGAAGCAGCTTAATATACTGTATCTTGGAGGTAACAATCTGACGGGTACCATACCATCCTCTTTAGGTAACCTGACTAACCTGTCTAAATTAAGCCTTGGCGGCAGCAGTTTCCATGGGAATATTCCTGAGGAGTTGGGTCGTCTTACGAACCTCGTCGGATTGCAGATTATGGCGTGTGGTGGTATAACTGGTCCCATACCAATTTCCCTTTCAAATTTGTCATCACTCACACACCTTGCACTGAACGATAATAGTCTCACCGGACCAGTGCACTTGCAGTTTGGGAACACGCCTAACCTTTCATACTTGGATCTACGAGGAAACAAACTAACAGGAGGAGCTGACTTCCTTGCATCGCTTTCAAACTGCAGAGGTTTAGAGTTTGTGGCTGTTACTGGAAATGAGCTGGATGGCATTCTTCCACGTACTGTTGGTAATCTTTCAAGGACTCTAACATTGCTTGATGTTGAGGATAATCATTTTAAGGGGAAAATTCCTGTTGAGCTGGGTAACCTGTCTGGATTGACAAAATTATTACTGGGCAATAATGAGCTAGTTGGAACAATACCGTTTGAAATCACAACGCTACAAGGCCTGCAGTACCTAAGTTTGCATAGTAACGAAAACAGTCTTTCTGGATCCATACCTGACTCACTGGATAACATCACCGAACTAGAGAGCTTAATCCTTGCTGCTAACAGGTTATCTTCAGCAATTCCTGAAACTATTGGGAGTCTGACTACTCTACAACTCTTAAATCTTTCACAAAACCTTCTCACTGGATCGCTGCCATTGACATTGTGGAACATGGATTTATATTCATTGGACATATCAGTAAATCAGCTGTCGGGTAACCTTCCAAGTCCTCCAAAGTATCTCGAAATAAATTATTTAGATCTGTCAAATAACTCATTCGACGGGCACATTCCTGAATCATTTGGTAATCTTATTAACCTTGATGTCCTAAATCTTTCTTGCAATAAGCTCTCAGGTGTTATACCCGAGTCCTTAGTCAAAATTCGACATCTCAATGTCCTGAACTTATCTTTCAACAAGTTGGAAGGAAAGATTCCAAATGGCGGTGCCTTTTTAAACGTCAGTGCCGTGTCTTTAGAAGGAAATTCAGCACTATGTGGAGCACCCATATTAGGATTTCCATCTTGTAATCCATTTGATTCAACACATTCTAACTCAGGGAGGCATTTGCTAAGGTATATCCTCCCTGTTATTGCTTCTTCCGGAGTCCTTCTTCTTGGTTTTTGCATCTTATTAAGATTTTGTAGAAGGAGAGCCAAGAATCTAGCCCCTCCTAGCATGCTCTCTCCTACTTACCATAGATTGATCTCATACTACGAGCTTGTTCGTGCCACTGACAACTTCAGCGAGATAAACTTGCTGGGAATGGGTGCATTTGGTTCTGTGTACAGAGGGCTTTTAGATGATGGTCTTGTTGTTGCCATCAAGGTCTTGAAGTTGAAAATTGAAGGAGCTTTGAGGAGTTTTGATGCTGAGTGTCGTGCTTTAAGAATGGTTCGACACAGAAATCTTGTTAGAATCATCAGTGCGTGCTCCAACTTGGATTTCAAGGCACTCGTCCTCCAATTCATGCCTAATGGTAGCCTAGAAAGATGGCTCTACTCCCATAATTACTGCTTGGACCTACTCCAAAGGATTAATATAGTAATCAATGTAGCCTCAGCTCTAGACTATCTTCATCACCACCATTCTGAGGTCATACTACATTGTGATCTGAAACCGAGCAACATTCTTCTTGATGAAGAAATGGTTGCACACGTCAGTGACTTTGGCATTGCAAAACTACTGAGTGGTGTCAGCCGGAGTGTAACTTCAGCAAGCACGGCAGGGACAATTAGCTATATTGCTCCAGGTAAATAAATTTACAAACTTTCACCTCAAATTTAATCCAATCGCAAATGATTTGTATTATTCGTTGTGTTTGTCGTATAGAGTATGCATCAACAGGAAGAGTCTCTACAAAGGGAGATGTCTATAGCTTTGGAATATTGTTGCTAGAAATCTTTACGAGAAAGAAGCCTACTGTGTTAGATCTACATCATAAAACTTGAGATCTAAAACCATATAGCCATGATTAATTCAAAGAGATTAACAAGGATCTAAAAGAGCGGAAGCTTATACCTGAATCAATTGCTTGGTCTTGATTTTGGGTTTTGGATCTTCTAACCTTAGGGTTTCTCTAAAACTGAATTTCTCTCTTAGATGGGGGTGAAGAGAATTAGAGAATGTAGTAACCCTAGATTAGGGACCATAACCCCTTATTTATAGATGTTGTACTTTTGTAATTTAGCCCCTCAATAAATTACAATTACAACCTGGTATCTGCACATATAACCCCATGACTTATTTAAATACCAAATTAACCCAACTTAATTGATCACTTTAGTGGGTTATCCTCAAAGATAGCAATACACATTGATTAATCATATGTGCCCACAAATAGATTTATTAGATTAAATCCAACAATCTCCCACTTGGGCACCATATGATTCCTTAAACTGTGTATAACCTTATGAGCTCAAAAATTGCTATCACTGAAATGGTATTTCCGAACAATCTCGTCCATTGACTATATCAATATAGGATCAAAGCGGCCTTCGTCACATTTATCGTGACTCGACCCATCAATGGTCACATATACCAATACAATCAAATGACATAGATCAATCATGGATGTGCAGCATGAAAATTACATGCAATGTGATCAGTACATGTCTATTTTCAACTGGTCCTCCTTAGTGAGGTCAAAACCAAACATAATGTAACAGAGTGACTTAACTGAAAACTTTATTCTGATCAGACAATACAACCAAACATAAAGCACCACAATTACAAACTCCCACTAAAACATAACGTCCTCAAATAATACCACACCCATATGAGCAGTATGCTCATGAAAGACCTTAGGTGGCTATCCCTTAGTAAGAGGATCAGCTATCATGGAGTTTGTCCCAATGTGCTCTATGGATATCTGTCCACTCTGTACCCTTTCTTTCACAACCAGGAACTTAATATCAATATGTTTTGACTTAATTGAGCTCCTGTTGTTATTGGAATACATTACTGCAGATTTATTGTCACAATATAGCCTTAGTGGTCTTTCAACATTTTCCAAAATGCGCAGTCCCGTGACAAAATTTCGCAGCCATATTCCCTGATTGGATGCCTCATAGCAAGCTACAAATTCTGCTGCCATAGTGGAGGAAGCTACTAGTGTTTGTTTGACACTTTTCCATGATATAGCTCCTCCTGCTAACATATAAATGTAGCCTGATGTAGACTTCCTGCTATCTTGGCATCCAGCAAAATCAGAGTCCGAATACCCAATGACCTCTAATTTCTCTGATTTTCTGTATGTGAGCATGTAATCTTTTGTTTTCTGAAGATACCTCATAACCCTTTTGACTGCTATCCAATGATCCATACCAGGGTTGCTTAAGTATCTGCCTAACATCCCAACAATGTACGCAATATCCGGACGCGTACATACCTGAGCATACATTAGACTTCCTACAGCCGAAGCATAAGGAATCTTCTGCATTTCCTGAATTTCAAGGTTACCTTTAGGGCACTGATTGAGACTAAACTTGTCTCCTTTAGCAACAGGGGTGTCACCTGGTCTGCAATCTTGCATGCCAAACCTTTTAAGTACCTTATCGATATAGCTCTTTTGTGATAATCCAAGAATACCCCGAGAGCGATCTCGATGTATCTGGATCCCTAATATAAAAGAGGCGTCCCCAAGATCTTTCATCTCAAAATTCTTTGATAGAAATCTCTTGGTTTCGTGCAACATGCCTATATCATTAGTGGCAAGCAAGATGTCATCCACATACAGAACCAGAAAAATATACTTACTCCCACTGAACTTGTGATATACACAGTCATCAACAATGTTCATCTCAAAACCGAACGAGATAACTATTTGTTGAAACTTATGATACCATTGACGAGGAGCTTGCTTGAGTCCATAGATGGATTTCCTTAATTTGCAGACCATATTCTTTGGGTCTCCCGACACAAAGTTTTCTGGTTGCACCATATAGATCATCTCATCAATGTCTCCATTGAGAAATGCAGTCTTAACATCCATCTGATGTAACTCAAGATCATAATGAGCAACAAGTGCCATGATTATTCTGAAAGAGTCTTTCGATGAAACCGGAGAGAAAGTCTCTGTATAATCAATGCCTTCCTTTTGAGTATAGCCTTTAGCCACAAGACGTGCCTTATACCTCTCCACATTACCGTTTGCATCCCGCTTGGTTTTAAAAATCCATTTACAACCAATTGGTTTTGCACCTTCTGGTAATGGGACAAGTTCCCAAACCTTATTGTCTTGCATAGACTTGTACTCTTCATTCATGGCATCAATCCACTGTTGAGAGTTAGAACTTTTCATGGCCTGAGAGAAGTTGATTGGATCATCTTCTAACATTCCACTACTTTCCTCATGTTCTTGGAGAAATACAATATAATCATCCGGAATAGCATTTCTCCTTTCTCTCGTGGATCTCCTTAATGGCACTGGTTCTTGAGGTTGTTGAGTTTGTTCTTCTGGAACAGGGAGTTGTTCAACATTATCATCTTGAGGTTCCGGATTTACTTCTTGAGCAACAACAGGTATAGGAACCTGAATATTGTCAAAAGTAACTGTATGGATTGGATCTGAAGCCAATTCCTCCTCAAAACTAATGTCTCTAACCTTATTTCTCCCCCCAAACTCAACATCCTCAAAGAATGTTGCTGTTCCCGTCTCAAAAATGTTCCTTATAGTGGGATCATAAAACTTAAAGCCCCTAGAGCGTTCAGAGTATCCAATAAAGTAGCTGCTAACTGTTTTGGAGTCCAATTTCTTTTCATTTGGCCTATAAGGCCTTGCCTCAGCTGGACATCCCCAAATATGTAAATGCTTTAAACTGGGCTTTCGACCAGTCCAAAGCTCATAAGGTGTTTTAGCAACTGCTTTACTTGGTACTCTATTCAGAATGTAAGCTGCTGTCTTAAGTGCTTCTCCCCAGAGTGACTCTGGTAAAGAAGAATGAGCAATCATACTTCTTACCATATCCTTAAGAGTCCTGTTTCGTCTTTCAGCTACACCATTCATGCTAGGTGAACCCGGCATGGTGTACTGTGGGACGATACCGTATTCCTCTAGGTATCTAGCAAATGGTCCTGGACGTTGTTCACCTGAACCATCATATCTACCGTAGTACTCACCACCACGATCAGATCTGACGGTTTTAATTCTTCTGTTGAGTTGATTCTCAACTTCAGCTTTATAGGCTTTGAACATGTCCAGAGACTCAGATTTTTCATGAATAAGATATAGGTGCCCATAACGTGAGTAATCGTCTATGAATGATATAAAATATTGTTGACCATTCCAGGATTCCGTAGGGAATGGCCCACAAATATCCGTATGTATCAATTCTAAGACATCCGAAGATCTGTTGGCACCTAATCTTTTCACTTTGGTCTGTTTTCCCTTGATACATTCAACACATACGTCGAAGTCCGAAAAATCAAGGGAATCCAAAATGCCATCAGACACAAGACGCTCAATTCTACCTTTTGAGATATGACCTAAGCGCTTATGCCATAATGTCGCCGAATTTTCCTTATTTAATTTACGCTTAGTACCACGTGATTCCACATGCAAGGATTCATTGTAAGAAGCAATTGTATCAAGCAAATATAGGTTGTCATAAATACTCAAGTAACCGGTTCCCACAACATTTGAATTAAAAGATAAACTGAATTGACTGTTTCCAAATGAACAAGAATAACCTGATTTGTCCAATACAGAAACAGAAACCAAATTCCGTCTAAAAGACGGTACTACAAAAGTATCTTTTAAATCCAAATAATAACCAGTTCCTAACAACAACCTAAAGTGCCCAATTGCTTCCACATCTACCGATTGTCCGTCGCCCACAAAGATGTGTCTTTCAACATCACTTGGCTTTCGGTAGCTCAGGCAACCCTGCATAGAAACACTTATGTGAGTAGTAGCACCAGAGTCTAACCACCAAGTGTTTCTAGGTACTGAAGCTAAATTAACCTCAGAACAGACCAAAGCAAGGAACGTACCCTTATTATCACGCCAGGCGTGATATTTTGTACAGTCCTTCTTTACATGTCCAGGCTTCTTACAGAAGAAACAACCCTGATTATCCTTATGTTGTTTCTTCTCAACTGGACCCTTAGCAGCTTCCTTATCATTCTTCCTTTTCTTGCCCTTATCCTTAGAGGCATAGGCCAAATGAGCACTTTCTGTCTTATCTTGCTTCAACCTGTCTTCTTCTTGCACACAGTATGAAATTAGCTCATTTAGAGTCCATTTCTCCTTTTGGCAGTTATAACTGACCTTAAATTGATTGAACTATGCAGGAAGAGACAACAAAACCAGATGCACTAGTAACTCGTCACAAAGATCGAGTTTAAGTGCCTTAAGCTTTGAAGCAATATGAGACATTTCCATAATGTACTCCCTGATGTTTCCCTTGCCCTTATACTTTATCGAAATCAAGCGAGCTAAAAGCGTGCTTGTTTCTACCTTATCGTTTTTCGCAAAACGCTTCTCAATTTCGACAAGGAAATCTTTAGCCTTAGTAATCCCTTCGGATTCTATGCCCCTGAAGGCTTCCGGAACGCCGCGCTTAATGATCATAAAACTCATGCGATTTGAACGCTCCCACTTCTCATGCTCCTTCTTTGCATCAGGAGTGCTATCCGCATTGACAGATTGGGGTTGTTCAGTTCTTAATGCATAGTCAAGATCCATGGAGCCAAGAACAATTAATATGTTCTCTTTCCAAACCTTGAAGTTTGTCCCATTTAGCATGGGAATTGAGTTGATGTTAGCAGAAATTGTTGCAGCAGATGCATTAGCTGAAATAAAACAAAAGAAGCTCACATCAATAACCATAATCAATATTATTCAAATAATTAACAGTCCCCATCAAGATATCGGGCACAACATTAATATCAAGTCTTTGGACAGTAATATTAACTTGTAAGTGATACCTTGTTGCAATGATCAAACATT